TCCTACTAACCAGCAACATGATTTGGTCCATAGGAGTTATTTCCTTTGTGCATGAAGGTTTTGAATTCTAGTTTAAATAGCATTTTCTAAAAGCTTAATGAACCTGCAGTCAGAGGCTTCTATTAAAAGAAACTTATTTTAGAAATTAATATAGCCAGTTAGCTCAGTATGACTATGGACTGGATGACTAGTGTTAGATTCCCAGCAGAGGCAGAGGATTTTTCTACAAGTCCCTGCATCCAGACCAGCCCACCCAGACTTCTTTCGCGTGGGTAGTAGATAGGCCTTTCTGCAGGGGTAAAGCTTGGATAGGGCATGCCGCTGAACAAATCATTCCCATGTAATGCAGAGGTCAAGGACAAATACCAGCTTTATGTCCTGTCCTGTCAAGTGCCTTCATTGTGTGTGGTGGGGAGTTTATTTTCATTGTATGTGTAACAGTCTAAAAGTATACAGGTTGTCGGTCTTCAATTTTGTTTGTTTCAGACTTAAAGGTTGATTACACGATCCCTAACAACCCGACCAGCAAGCGAACATTCAGGGTAAACGCAATTGCTGAATGTCCAGCAAAATTACGGTACGTTCAATCTTTTGTGAGCTACATGTTTTTCATCAGTAGATAGCTTTGAATGTACAGGAATGTTTCTGACTTCACATGTGCAGTTATATGAAATGAGGAATATGTTAGCTACAAGTTTGCCTTGATGATTTCTACCATCTGCTGAAATCTCTTTGAATTTTTTCCCTGGAAATAGGTATCTGTGTTAAACAGAGAATTCTTTAAAGTGGTAAAAATTCAGTTTCCCTGAGATTGCATTATGAGTATATTTTATGATGTTATAGGAATATTTTGCTTTACATGTAATGTTTTTTGATTATAAAGATTTCAGTTGGATGATGGTCAAAGGATATCAGTTCAAGATTATTTTGCCCATGTCAAGCGTATACAACTGAGATTTCCACTTCTTCCATGCCTTCATGTTGGTTCACTTAAGAGAGAAAAGCCAGTATATCTTCCACCAGAGGTAGAGTACGCGACTGTAATCTTGAGACTTGCAAGGAATGCAGGAAGTCCGAAGTGTTAAAGGCTGACGCCATTTTTCCTCCTTCACCTCAATTCCCCACACCGCAAGTCTCAAGATTACAGTCTTACACTGTAAGAAACCTTATTTTGAATAGATGTAAATCAGCCCCTATAGAAGAGGGTGGGACTGATTACTCCCTGACTGTATTTGGACTGTTTTAAATACAGCTGACATTATTGTATGTAGTAGAAGGGAATTTTCCTT